CGCACGCGTGCATGTCATACCTCCAATGGTTATCGGATATTTGCACCTGCTCCGCGACTTCGCCGTACCACGAGTGGCACTAATCATTTCAGCTAGCCTCCTTGCTTAGTTGCCACGACTCTTACGCATCTACCTCATCCCCCTTTATCTGCAGTCACCAACACAGTGTCTTCAAACAGGTGCAACATACGCCCTTACCCGTGTGATGCAAACGCACTCTGCATCAATACAAACAACGGGAGCTTTGAGTGCACATGCAACCCTGGCTACGCTGGGACTGGTGTGACGTGCGCAGGTGTGGATTCCATGTGTCGTGATGTTTGGGCTGGGTGGCGTCCATGAGAGGCCGATGATGCATTCAGCCGCCTGTCCACCTAGGCCGCCTAGTCAGCGGCCGGTCAACGGCAACTGCGCGCATCAAGTGGTGCAACTTGCGGGTTGCAGGCCTGTGTTGCCAAGGCCCGTGTCGAAGGTGGGGTTGAATATCCACCATCACTACGGGAATCTGCTGGGCCCCGCACCCACCACCCCACAGATATTGACGAGTGTGCGTCTGGCGACGCCAGATGCGATTCGAATGCGACTTGCGTCAACACGATCGGCGGCTACAATTGCACCTGCAACAAGGGCTACTTTGGGGACGGCAAGATGTGCGCCGGTATGCATGGGCGATTTGGGATCTCTACGTGTCTTGCGCTGAGCTTGTGCCCCTGCAAGCTAGTGCCCCAACTTCGATCTGTGTCTTGGAAATACAGTCTATGCTTCTCTGTCGTCATGTGCGTGCATGTCCTCAAATTTTTGAATGTGAATGGAAGGGGCTCATGTTACCACCCGTAAGCCCTAAACTCTTAGCCTAAACCCTGAACCCAACAATGCCTCATTGGACGCCCACCCTTGACCTCAGCTGGAAACACGCCCACTTCCGGCGGCAACTCATGCTTGTCATCACCCTGCGACGACAACGCTGCGTGCAGCGCTACAAGCAGCAACAACTACACGTGCACCTGCAATCCTGGTTACTCTGGAGATGGCAAGACGTGCACAGGTGTGTAGGCACATTGATGAAGCGGTGGTGTACAACCCCCAGACAAGGACACTTTATGCTGCCTCGCCAAGTGCACGGCATCTGCAGCGGCTCACCTCAATTGACATGCATACTGTGACCCTGTGCACTCCCCCATTGCAACCTGCTTGGCAGTCATCGACGTGTGCGCCCCAGGGGGGAATGCCACCTGCGCCGCCAACGCGACATGCTCAACAACGGGCCCGCTCGTCTATGAATGCACCTGCACGGACGGTTTCATTGGTGACGGCAAGGTGGCATGCTATGGTAAGCGGCGGGCGGGATGGGGGACTGGGCGTGTTCGGCATCATGCGCTCCGCTGCTGCCTGGCCTGTTACTGGCAGCTTGATTTTTGTATAGGGCAAGCGCTTGTGGCCGGGTTCACAGGGCTGAGAGTGAGCCTCAAAGCCTTCCAATCTATCACTTGCTTGCTTACTTCCCACCCCTCACCCCTGCAAACATTTACGAGCAGAAAAACCATCTGCACGGGTGAGTGTGTATGTTGCAACGACCTTGTGCGCTAGCAGTCCCCCTGACTCCGATGAAAATGCAGAGAACTCAACAATGACATTGCATCAGATGTGACGGCGTAACTGTCACGACACTGTTGCCTGGTGCATTTTTCTGCTGTTGTCCAGCCTGTGATGTACGGCTTCGCTGACGATAGGCTAAATTGCACCGTACCTCAACTTACAATGAGCAGGTTTTCAAAGCAAATGTGCAGGTCAACGGGACGTCCTACGCAATTTCAGTGCAGCAGCTGTCGTACAACGCAGAGCCGGCCGTTTACTTTGCCTCTCTGGCGTCAACAGCGTGGTGGTGAGATAACAGCGCCCGATGTTCCGCTGCTGCCAGTGCATGTGTTTGTTTTTGATGTGTGTGTGTGTGTTTGAGACGTGTGTATGTGTGAATGTTTGAGGTGTGTGTGTGTGTGTGTGTGTGTGTGTCTGTGTTTGTGTGCGCATCGTTGGCCGTTGTCATGCTGGAAGACTGCTGCGTAGCCACCTGTCCCTGGGCCACAGTTGTCCTGGATTGTGTACGTGCGTGCACCCGCGGGGCCCTTCCCACACACAAAATGAGGGCAGCTGTACGCTGCACATCCAGCGGCTGTCTCCCTTCAATTTTAGCCGTTCTTCCCGCTGCCCTCTGCATCCTTCGCAACTCGCCGCCCCTGCTGGCTGCTTCACCCTGCTGCGGCTTCCAGGCGCGACTCAGAGCGTGCGAGGCTTTTTGCCCTGGCGTACTCACAACAATTTGAAGGACCAGAAATGGCCACATACTTCGTATACGCGGTGCGATCTGCGGCAGATACTCAGAACTTGGAACATGGTGCCTTGTTTTTGACTAGCAGTTTGACCACAGCATTTGGGCATGCTGCTGTCCACTTCAAGGCAATGTGCGAATTTGGCCTTGTTGTATCTTTTGCCGTTTGGGCCCTGTGCTGAAATCCACCACTCATGCCACGCTGCTCCAGCTCACCAAGTGGCCACGACCAGTGTAGCTTGAAGCTCAGCCCCTGTCTCACTACCCAATCTACGTCACCCTGAACCTCTCCCACGCCACTCACCACAACACCCACCCGCCCTTCCCCCCACCTCATGCACCGCCGGTGCCTCATTGCCCACCCTGAGCGCAGGTGCGCCAGCTGCCGGCGCAGCGACACCTGCTGGCTGGCGAGCAGTACGAGCTGGACGCCTGGATGTCCACAGGAGCCGGCAGTGTGTCCAACGCCCTCAGCATCAGTGGCCGTCAGCGCATACAGATTGCCCTGGATGCAGCTGCTCTACTGACGCCCACCGTCGTGCTGAGCGAGGGCTTTGTGACGGCGCCGCCCAGGGTGCCGCTGCCACAGGTTTCTCTGACCATCAGTCCAGCTGCAACCGGCATGTGAGTCGAAGACCCCCGTTATGGCCCGTATAACGCCTGGCGTCAGTTCAGAATTGATGTTGATGTACAGGGGTTGCAACCTTGGACACATGCATTCTGTGGTGTCAGGGCGCACAGGTGTTCAACACTTAAAAGTTGGCAGCTGCACGCTGCGAATGGTGACCCAATCGACCTGTACTTAATCTCTGCCATGTCATTCCCAACCAACCCTAACTTGCAAGTCCGGCTGCGTGCGCCACCTTGTGCTCCTCGTTTTGTTGCGATGCAGGTGCATCTCAAACTCCCCAACTTGCACGGCCGGCTTTGTGGCCTTTCAAAGCCCCACCCCCTGGATCCTCTCGCCCGGGAACGGCCCCAAGACGGTATATGTGTGGATCCGCGACGCATCGGGCAATGTCTCCCTAAACCCAGGCATGGCCTCGGCCGTGCTTGACCCGAAGTCCGCCCTGCTGGCGTTCAGCCCAACGGCTGACGTGGTTGCTCCCAATGTTGTCAGGAAGAACACCGTGACCCTGGCAGTGACGGCAGTAGCAAAGCAGATGTGAGTGGCCTTACTTCGGGCCGCGCAAGCTCGCCAGGCGGGCGTCCTCCAGCAGTGCATGTGTGACCCCCGTTGTATAACTTGCACCCCTTGCTGTGAAACCACACTTCACGTCTTTTGTTGGCCGAACAAGGCTTCCGCCGCTCCTGACCCCACTTCTTGCCCTCGCAGGTGTGTTGTGGACAAACCCGTCAAGGTCCCCAGCAAGTGCCCCAAGTGGGAGCCCTACTCAACTACCAAGGTCCTTCGCATTGGCGGCGAGGGGCTGCGCACGGTGACGGCATACTTCCGCGACGTGAAGCCAACCAAGAAGAATAATGGCACCACCTGGGGACCGGGAACCCTCACCGTCCTCTACGACAAGACGGCCCCGAGGATGGCCCCCGCCCAGGTCGGCCTGACCGGGAAATACGACGCGGGCGCTGGGAAGTTCACGGTGACGTTCCAGGCCGCAGGGACCGACGACAGGAACGCCAAAACCAAGGGATCAGGGGTGAAGGACTATTTGCTCGTCGGCAATCCCACAAAGGCGCCTACGGCACGGTGCGGCTCGGCGGCGGATACAAAGCTGCCAATCTCATACTCAAGTGATGGCAAGACAGGGACCGCGTCCATCGACATCCCTGCCTCAGAGGTGTCAAAATACAAGCTGCGGCTTTGTGCTCGTGAAAAGGTTGGCCTAGTGTCCCCTGGGGTCATCCTGGCTGCGAAGCCATGACAAATTGTTTCAGCCTCTGTTTGACAAAACCTCTACATGAATTCCTGACGCTCAGCGCGTTTGCATGCTGCAGAGCCTTTTTCACATGCTGCGCCCATGAGAGGCTCCTGGGAGTATGGGTTGAGGTGCATGGCACAACCCCTGTTCATAGGCTGTGGGTTGAGGTGATGAGAATGCCCGGAACATAGCGCTCACTCTCATGGCACACGTGTTTATGTGAGTTGAGCGGGGCTTCCCAACAATTTTCATGGCCAGCTACTGCGTTCAAGTTTGTCTTTTATCCTCTGTATGAGATACATGTGGCTGCAGCCCCGCCGCTCCTCGAAGCCGTGTCCAGAGCCCTTGCCTATTGCGGTGCGTGAGGCGCCAAGCACCGTTGTGCTCCCAGGCAACCCGCGCCTGGATTTGAGTCTGGCTCCTCGATTCGCAGCCTGCAGGCCGCAAAGAGTCTTGGCTTCCCAGCGCCTTGTGCACGGCACATCAATGGCTTGCTGTCTGTCGCGCCTCAGCAGCCAGCGCTTCACAGCGCTAGCTGATGAGGGCTTGGCGCACGCGCAGCCGTTGCGCCTCAGAGTCATAACCGATCTCACAATAATTTGGCTTGCTTGTTCTGTTTCATAAGGTATTCATCCAACCATCTCGGGCTTTGATGAAAGCCTCACTGACAACGTGAAGGTTTGGCAGTTGCGTGCAGGGAGTGTCAACTCGACGTGCAGTGTTGGGTGCGGTATCAACGTTCCACACACCAATGGCACCAAGAACTTTGCTCGGTGTGCAAAACCTCTTGCAATCCTCACGGCGGTATGGTCCACACACCACGCTACGCACACTACACCTGCTACGGAGCCGCCAGCGTGCTGGCCCCTCGGCTTTGCGCCTGCCAGTCTGCCTCCTGCTGCAGCACGCGCATTCCCGGGCAGGTGTTGCCTCGTCCCAGGTGCTGCTGGTACTCGCGCCCGGCTGGACGAGTTTTGTTTTCATTCCTGTTTTCACAGCAGGATTGTTTGCTGCCGCCCTCTGACTCTTATGACTCGCTTGTCCCATGTGGTGACGCCGCCAGGTGATCTCCCAGCTCGGACGCACACTGGTGCGCTGACACACAGTGTCTCCCTGGTCCAAACTTTACATAATTGCACTCCACTCATATGATCAGCTGGGGCTGGTGCCGCTACGCTCTGCTCCTGCAAGCAGGCAGGGCCACCTGGGCCAGAGCGCGCAGGTTGCTGGGGATTTCACCCTGCGCTTTACATTGTCGCTTGGCGCCTCGCACTGGCAGGCCAACCTGCGCGTTGGTAGGTGATACCCATCCTTATGGCGAGGGTTCCCTGCCCGCGCAAGGCATGCAGCTCACAACCATCGAGCCCGGCACTTGGAGTTGTCGGGGGCGCAATTCGCAGCTGTGGGCTGCACACGCTGCGGCGAACCCCCTCACACACATCCCGTAGACGCGGGCACTCGAGCAACGAGCGCACGCATGCGTCAATTGTGACGGCCCACTGACACGCACAAGATAAAACTGCCAAACACTTGCGTCAAAGCACCTACCCGTGTTGCACGGTGGGCAGCACGCAATGTTCAAACCCCTTATTGTGGACACCTCACAAGTCCATTACCGGAAGCCAGCCGGTGGACTTGACCTGGCACAACGCATGCATGTCAATCGCCGATGGCGGCACTGGACACACGCTTGCGTCCTTTCAACTCAACCTCCTCCATCCGTTCTCTGTTCATCACAACCATGCCATCCGTTGTTTTGCTCTGATGGTGCAGATAGAGCACCTTTGAACGGTAGCAGTTGCCTCCGCTCGCAGTGCGCTTTGAGTATACAGCTCTGGTTTGCAAACCAGAGCTATACGTAAACACACAGCGCACTGTGTGCGCCGTTGGTAATCGACTTTGCCAGTGCTTCATTCTCATGCAGTTTCAAGCCAGCTTCTGCTTGATTGCTTGCAACAACGGCGCAGCTTTGTCATACCCACACACGCCTGACAAAACCAGCCATCAACTGCAGGCTGTACGTGGCGGACTTGGAAGGTCAAAATGAGAAGAGGGAGCAGCAGCTGCGCTCAAGGTGCTTTGATTGTGTGGGCCCCCGACAGCATTAATGGAATGCAGGACCATGCGCATTGTCACCACTGTGCCGTATGCCTTTGCCACCTGCACATCCTATCAGACAGCCAGCTATAGTATCAAGCAGCTGTACTCAGCTGCTTGATGCCGCACTCGGCAAATGTTAGCAGCACAGGTGACCCTGCGCGACGGCAGGGTTGGCCAGCAATCATCTCCAGCAACGCTGGTCAGCAACGCCGTCTTTTGCGTAGGCCGGTCCCCTGCAATTTGATACAGTCCTGGTGAACAAACGCAGGACCCAAAGTAAGTAACGCCGCCTCTCAGCATGTCTGGGAAGCATGGCGAGAACATGAAGCAGCGAACACCCCAGTCTTTTACGCACAGCTGATAGATACTGGCCTTGCGGGCGCACGCGGCTCCACAAGTCCAGCATCATTTTTTTGGCTGTTTGGCTTTTGTGTGAGAGGTGCTGTTCACACAGTTCCAAACCTGAGGTCGCTGCCACGTACGCTGCTATAGATTCTAAGGTCTCAAACAAATTGCTGCCAGACAAACTTGAACTGCTGCACATTGTCGCTTTGACCATTCTGCATAGCATCAACCAGGCTTGAAGAGCTGTTGAGCACGGCCCCGGAGAATTGGGCCACAAGCGCAGACGCGCACCGTCAGGAGTGACAAAGGGGTGAGTCATGAGCATGCGATTTCGTTCATGGTGGTGTTACAGGCGGCCGGCAGGTTGACACGCAAGCAATAAGCATTGCAGTGGCACGACGATGATACACTTGATAATCCTCGCAGCCAGGGGATCTGATCAGGAGCGATTGTGCCTAAACCCCAAGGTCGTAGGAGGGCGCAAAGCTGGGTTAGTTGCTGGTCAACACTCGTCATTGTATGCATGTGGCACGTTTTGCTGCGCATGCAGCCTTGCGTTCTCGCACGGTCCAAAGCGATGGCGACGGCGGGTCGCCCCAGGGCACAACAAAAGCAACAACAACAATGGAACCATGTCCCCAAGGGGTGCAGCGGGTAGAGGTGTGGGGCGGCGTCGCTGCAGGCGGGGATATGACCGGCTGGGACGCGACACACGGACCAGCCCCCAGAGTTGCACCAACGTGTGTGCACCGCTATGCGCAGCGAACAGACGCCGCCGCCGCCGCCGCCGCCGCGCACGGCTGCACAGGAAAGACAGCAAACATCTAAGCGGTGGATTGCAAGCGGCCCGCCCCGCAAGCGGACAGACCCAGCGCACCCCCTTTAGTGGTGGCGCCGCCTTTCCAAAGCACCCTCCCTGCTGCAGCCGCTGCGTTTGCGATCGCCTTCAACTCGGGCAACCGCGCCGCAGCCGCCACCGCCGCCGCCGCGGTCGTCACTCGCTGGGCGCTTGTGGCCCCGCGCGACCCGCACATCCACGGCCCCCGCCGGTGCACCGGCCTTCAGCTTGAGGCTGCCGTGGGCGTTTTTGTACTCCGCAAGAAGCTGCGCGGCACCTGCCAGGTGCTCCTCCGGCTCCCAGCCGTCCGGCCACCTCACTAGCCACCCGCGGCGGCCCCCGGAAGCTGGGGCAGGGCCAAGGACCCTGGCGCCGCTGCCACGCGGGGGCTTCTGTGGGTAGAGGAAAAGCATGAATGTTTATTAGCGGATGCGCGGGCGTGGATTGGGAAGAGGGGAAGGGGCGAGGCGAAAGGGAGGCGCATGGCGGTGACGGCCCCGCGCGCGGCATGCGCGCGTGGCGATTCGTGCGGCACGGCTTCGTGCACGTGCAGGCCGCCTTGCTCGGCGGATAGTTGGGCTTGCCAGGGTTTCAGGGCCTCAGGGTTATGTGGTAGCACGCACTGATCCGGCATGAACATTGGACCGCTTCGACACGTGCAACTCAGGGGGGCGCCTCGCAGCTGAACATTAGATAGAACCTCCCCCCTCACCTCAGCCTCCACGCTGTCCGCCCACTGCACCAGCAGCATCAGCTTGCCGCCCCGCCGCCGGTGCCCCTTGATCGCCGCCACCTCCCACAAC